TTCTCCGCTCAGCCATAAGGAAGGTGGCGGTGGTCGCATCCCCCTGCCCCGGTCCCCACACAGCATCCCCCATCTCCCCGCCAGCCCTGCCACCCCGTGACGTCATGAGCCATCTCCCCGGCAACCGGCGGTGAGGTCACCCACGGCGCAGGGCACACGACCTGGCCCAAAGGGGGGTAAGAGGGGGGGGCACACAGGATCAGGTCCCACTCCAGTAGCTCCTGCCTGGGGTGGCCGTGCCACGGGGGTCCAGCCCACACAGCTGCCTGTGGAGCCCCCCACGGTGATATTGGGGTGTCCCTCCATGCTCCAAGGTCCTATAAAGGATCCCAGAGGGGGGCACAGACCCCAAATGGGGCTCAGTCCTCCCACTCACCCAAAATGCCCTGCTGGACACCCCAGGGAGGCTGTAGCCCACCCCACACGTTCCCAGTGCGTTGTCCTGCCTGCGGTGCTGGGGTAGACAGAGGGGACCCTGGGGTCATGGGACCCCCAGAAGCTGCCCACGCTGCACCCCTTGGTGCACCTGGGGTGGGGAGTGGGGGTGCAGAGGAGTGGGGGTGCAGAGGAGTGGGGTGCACAGTGCCAGAGCTGGCACTGGGAACAGGACTGGGGGGGTGCCCGGGGGTGGGACTGAACCCAGGGCAAGTGCCCAGAGCTGGACTGGGACAAGTGGGAGATGAGCAGGGCTGGAACTGGGGGGAACTGGATCCAGACCAGCATCAGAACCAGGACCTGGAGGGAAGGATGAACAGGACCAGGGCTGGGATCAGGATCAGGGGGGTGCCCTGGACTGAGAATGGGACCAGGAGGGCACTGAGGACTGGGGTCAGGATGAGGGGGTGCCCAGGAGAAGGACCAAGAGCAGGACCAGGACGGGGAGACACTCAGGACCAGGACGAGGAGATACTCAGGACCAGGACATGACCATGCCCAGGAGCAGGGTATGCCCAGGAGCAGGCGGGGTTGCACAGGACCGGGGTGGGGGTGCTCCGGGCTGGAACCCCAACCGGGGCGGGGGGGGGTGGTGCCCAGGACCGGGACCGGAGACTCCCCGGCTGGGACCGGGACCGGGCTGTGCTGGGTGCGGATGCAGGTGTCGTTGCGGGAGCCGTGTGTGTGTGTGTGCGGGCGCTGGGCGGGTGCGGGTTGCGGGTTGCGGTTGCGGGGCGGTGCCGGTGCCGGTGCGGGGCGGTCGCGGCGGGCGCTGCCGGTGGCGGGGCGG